TTGTCGTTAGACCAACAAATTTTTCATTTTTCAAGTATTAGAATTTTTTTTCTCATAAATTTAATTGGTAACTTCATATAATTGAGATGATGCAAAAACTTTTGCAATCTAGCAGAATTCACCAACGTGGAAGTATGACAAGTAGATAGGATTAAGATAAAATAAAATTATTTATGTAATTTTGTGCTTAATTCTTTAAGAATGAATTATGATGTTATTTCATGTAGAAAAATTATTCTTCAAAATATAATGTAATTTCTATAAATCTTAGATTTTTTCCTGTAATACGTAAAATAAAAAATAATGTTAATTTTTTTTAATGATAAAACTTACAGATTTTTTCAACGAGTATGTGGTTTGTTTTATTAAACAAGAAAGTGATATCAGATTTTGGTTTTCTCTAAATTTCCCATGATATTTTAGACATACAGTGTAGGTAAATGATGAGTATGCAATAAAAGCTAAAGTTATTTCAAGAAATTTTTTTAAATATTCATCCATATGATATATAATAATGAACAGCTGAAGTTTCAAAAAAGTTACCGTTTATACAAAAAATTTAATCGAATCAGTGACACTATATTTCAAGATATGATTCATTATTTCATATTATATATAGGTTTAGAATTATTGAAAATATTAAATTATTCCCCAATGAAATTTTAGAGAATAAGATTTCTATTCCATTGATTGAAAAACATGAGACGTAAATTCCAACACATTCAAGGATTCTTCAGATGATTTTAAAAAGGGTCATTTTTATTATAACTATTATCACATTGGGCTTTTAGTATGAGACCTCATATCTCGCAGGAGATTAACTTTTCAAATTTATCAGTAATGAATAATGAGAGTTCAATTGTGTAAGGGATTGTGTATTTTTGGATCAAAAAATTATGCAAGAAACTAACACCAATTTATATGTCTCGAATAAAACGCATCTTTCTTTATCTCACTTGAATAACATTGCAATTTTCAGTGATCAAAACTTTCAGTTGACCAGATGCAAATTTAATAACGCATGTCCATGTTTAATTAGTCAAATCAAAATTTATAGTATAAAACTTGCGTATGTGAAGTTAATCCTGGAATATGACTGCAGTATAATGATTTGAAGGCTGATGATGATGGAAATTTGGTCAAAGTGGACTATGAACCTGAAATCATTTAGTACACAAGAAGAGGAACAAGAAGAGCGCATATTCAGAAATTTCACGTACAGCGATCTACAGATCTGGAAACGCACTTCCGCAGAGATTTATAACAGTGTTATATACTCACTTTATCCATACTTGAAGATCCAGTTAGATTAGAACGATTCGTTGCACTCTAATAAGCATACAATGATGACGGTCTACTACGTGGGTTTTCTTTGGGAGTACATCCCACGTGAACTAATGGATGAAAGAGCATAATTATTCCATAGAGTTGTCCAAGCACATGCACACGCATTTGATGCATGTAGTTGATATAAAACACAGCTGAAAATTAACGGGAATCTCATCCTGTAGTGGCAACCTTCAGTAAAGAAATACCGTAGGGTGAGATCTGACATTGCAAATCTCGCGTCGAAGGAAGCAAAATCTGTCAATAGAATATATTCTACCATGACGAAGTGACTGCGTAAGACCTGAAGCACCTACAGTCCAGAAGATTCACATGTTTGCTGTTTACCAAATTCTTTAATGCGTCCTTCCGTTTGGACAATTTTCACTTCATGGTTCCAATTCCCAGAACAACACTCTTGGTGAATCCCAGGATTCCACATGACAGATATCCGTTTTAAATCCAAAAGCTTTCGTCTTTTCCATCATATCGATGGTTTATACAACAGTATCTGCATATTATTATCTAAACGAACACCATACCGCATAATCACGCTGGTAGAAGTATGGTAGGGGCATGGTTATCCTCATGAGACTCCCGTCCGAGCTGGATAGATTCCATACTCATCGGTTCAGCCAAAAATCCGCATCAAAATCTTTTCGGATGGAAAGAAAGAAAGACATAGCTTGAAGAATGTGCTCATTTGATTTAATTTTGCACAAGAGTTTTACCCGACGAAAACATCGTATGAGTAACAGAATATTAGAAAATGTGAAATTTCTAACTATGCAAAGAGAAAATGTAGTGACCACCACCCCTTTATGTGAAAGAAATTCAATAAATGTTTCATTCTCTTTTAATGTGATTTGGTTTAGCTAATGTAATTACTACATGTAATGTTAAACCACAACGATATAGCTTATTTTCTACCTTTGATGTAGTGTAAAAGCAACGAGTCTTGAGTGAAGAAACTAGTTTTTAATATTAATACTGTCTCGAGACATTTTCAACTCCACTCACGTACTCTTTTCATCAGCAGACAACCGAACTCTGTGGACCTTCTCGATGTGATGAGTCGACATCGATAAGAGCTCTTGGGAGTCATCACCTTACTACCAGGGGGTAGTTTTAAGTCCAGAGCCTTTCCACACAGGACCCCCGGATCACAATGGCACACTATCGTCTCTATTCAGTTGGTATGGGTATTTGCCACTCACATATACTTGTGGACCAAGTTGTATCAATCTAGTAATGATTGTAGCTCACCTTGTAACCTGCCACAACACCGTACATAATGGAATCATAAATGTATTGCTTAGCAGGAAATAAAATGGCGCCTAAATTCATAGTTTATATTGATTACACGATTAACAAAAACTAGTAGTTCTAGTTCAAGGAGATAAGTGCCCTACCTACGTATGCATGTTCTGCTACTGTTCTCCATCACTTGTTTTCTTTTATCCATATAATTATGATTGGAGTACGGAGAGTGTCAATATGATAATCTCTAATTTGTCCGAAAAATTTAGACATGCGTATACACGTGGTAGACATATTTTGGGGTCTGGTTAATGATAGGTTAGATCCGGTTAAGAGTCCCGTGCTGAACTACAACAAGCTTCTCAATCGACTGCTTTCAGTCAACTGGAGATTTCTCAGGACGCTAGATAGCTGCTGAGCATATCTACTATCTGTCGAAAAGTTTAACAGTCACTATGTTTGATGGGGAAACTCTTTGACCAACCTTCGTCGTTATTTAATTTCTGCGACGCAGACAGATTGCACATGTCTCCAGTGCTCTCGGAGATTATTTCGAGGGTTAATTGATTGGTGTAGACTTTCCTTCAGCTCCGAGAAAAGAATCAGTTTCAAGTTTATATCTGGAAACTAATCTGGAAATCGTTCTCACCAACTTTTGAAACACGCTGAGTGAGGGAGGGAGGGAGGGCAAGAATAGGAGGAAGGTCATGTCAACCGCATGAAGTGAAGCGAGAGTGTGGGTGCACTAGAAGGCACGGTATCGGCAAAGTGTCGGGAAGTGATCAAAGGTTGGAATGGGAGAGAGTGTCATGAGGGCGAGCTGCTCGCGGTCTTCTGGGGAATGCGATCCAAAACAAAACGATGGAATGAATGAGTGGAGGCTCGGGCCAAAAGGGAGTCAGAGTTTCCATGTGCACGCATATTGCTGTGTAGCAGCAATGCGTGCGTCTGGAGTAGGTACTCTCGGATCGACATGCATTTTCTTCCCGCATACAAATCAGAGCTCCATTGATTCGCGCTCCGGATCGCATCATTCAAAGCTCATGGAGACGTTGACATTATATCGAAAGCCTCTCCAACAACCAACCAACACCGAAACCGGTTCCGTTTTCCATCGCAACACTTTCCTCAAATTGTCCGAGAAGCATAATCGAATCTGATTCGGTGAATATTGTCAATACCAGAGCGACATGCTTACCTACTCGACTCATGTGTTGAGATCTGATACGGGTCCCATAAATCAGTTCAATAATGCTGCAATTTCCAAGACACTTATAAGAACTCCAGCTCGGAAGTGTCTTCTAATTCTTTTTCTCCTGAATTCCTTCACCTGGTTTTCATGCCACAAGTTTAGAAAAATCTTTCGAGATCTTGAGATTCCCAGGTTCTTCCGACTCCCGTATGTTAATAACATTTCAAACTATGAGTTAATTTCCAAATTTTAGTGACACCAAATTGAACTTGAAGTTCTTTTATCTATAAAACACAAATATTCACTTATGTGCAATGTCAATGTATAATAACACAATACCTTAACAAAGTTCTATCGACCGTCCGAATTATATGCACCTTACTAAACGAGTGAGAGGTACTGATGAAAGTTATATATGAGAGTTATCTCTCTATGAGACTTGATATTTAGTTATAAAACTGGTAAACAAGTTGAACTTCCAATATGCTTGATTGATAAAGATCATCCTCACAACTAATTCATATAGTTATCCATATAGTATTTGAGATCATATCCATATTACTATATTGATATAAAAATAGATATATAGCATAGCTTTTTCACTCCTTAATCATCTTTCCTACTACTATGTAACACTAATTTACAATTCTAGAAGGTGTTAACCATCTCTAACCTCGTACTCGAGCGCATCCTAGTACAAATCTAGACCCCTAGCTATCCCCAACTCCTTCCACGTTCTTCAAGTTGTATCTTGTTGGATCTTGAATTTGAAGGCCTGGACATAGCGTAATCTTGGCTTGAGATATATCTGGTTTTTCATGTCGGGAACTTTGCACGAAGATTAGACATCTTTTGCAGTGAAAACCTGCATAGAGCTGCGAGGTAGAGATGAGACATCTTTTGGATGGAATTCGATAAATTATACACAATATGCAATAATCTTACAAAGTATCAAACCAAAATAAATCAAAACAACATTTAATTTTTTTTGATCCAAATTTCAAACCTTCCTGTACGTGACTTTAATGATTATGATATTGAGTGGTGTTTTTTATTCAAGTTAGGAGGATTATTGCATTAATCAAATTCAGCGATAAAACTTGCTGTAAGATGTTAACGTTTCAAAACCTCGTGCTCTGCCAAACATGTGAATTGGATAATATATCTTTCATATTTTGTAGCAAAATAACATGAAATATTAGCAGGCAACCACTAATAAGGATCCAGAAGAGCACTTGAATGCATATGTGTTTTCACCACTCATAAATACAAAGTGAATCCATAATGGATTTTGGCAGATGAAAGCAAGACAAGTGCTAAGTTTCCATATACGAAAAGATTTAAGCTGGAATTTCGGACGGTTACTCTAGATACTTTTCTCAAAATCATCATCTTTCAAGGACCTCGTTCAACGCTCATCAAGTCTTTGTATTGGAGAAAACTCGCAGATATTCGACTTTCATGTCATTTTTCAGATCTGCATTCTGGCTTCAATTGTCTCACTGTGAGAAGGGGTACCCTGATAGTCACCTCATTCAGTTTTGACTCTGTTTTTATCTTTCAGCCCAAGGTACGAAGTTGTGCGTCGGGGTGTAAGCTTGGTACCAACCTACTCGGTTGCAAATTTACTGCTTTAAGCATAGATAGATCGGCGAAAACTCTTCAACATCATGCAGCAGTTGATTTCTTGTGCTTGAAAACAGCAGTACAACCTCTAGTATGAGGCAAGATCTCGGCAGTATGTATGTGGCCTGTAAGACCTTGTGGTTTAATCCGTTAGTTTCTACATACAGGTCAAGAGTCTATGCGGGTTGAATGCTGGGTCTCTTAGAGAGTAAGATTCAAGAAACAGATGACAAAATGTGTGGCCCGTAGGTGCCTGAGAGAAATGAAACTTCCCGTTTTCATCTTGAATAATCCCAGTGACGTGCCCGCCTGATATGAAAGCAGGAGCATCCGACAGACTTCATACTGACGGCTTCAGAATACAGGATGGAGTTGACAGCTCCTTACGGTGCCTGTCCGACAAAACTCCGATGGCTTGCGTGGACACTTAAAACCACGCGTTCTCTACACTCAGTTTTTTGTTAAATGAATATATTAAATTACTGTCGAGATTTACTACATGAAGGTAAAATATCACCCCAACATAAAAAAGATAAAGATGTCAGTTTGCCCCTAGGTTGATATTGCCTATGTTGTCCTCAGTCGATTAATTTCCTAAACTGTGTCGAGGCTATGTGACTTTTAGGCCAATACTACTCATGTAGACCCAATGTGGGCAAGGGACCTCAGGGTGTGAGTACAAATTAGTTCAGAATGTGTTAAAGACTGTAATTATCGTGATGGACTGAAAGAAATTACTGCGTATGCGTGCATGCTCCACAATGTCTCCGCAACCTCCCGTCTATCACGATCTTGACTTCTCTCTCCTTTTTACACAAGTATTCGACACTTGGATTGCTTTCTTCAATGTCCTAACTTCCTCCTTCTTCAGTAATTTAACTGTTGGCTGAAACTCCTCGGCCTCACTCCTTTGACCCGTGTTTCTAAGCGCATCAAGAACACTTTGTGAAACAACGAAATCGGGGTAACACCTGTCCAAAAGATCCAACAAGACAGCTATTTGGTCCTGGGAATAAGCAGATAAAGTACTTCGAATCTAATTTAATTTGAACCATCCCTACCTTCTTTCGTTATGGACTGTTTGCACTATAACTAATTTCATCGTTTGTGATTTTCCTTCAGGTGGTCAATAGCAGAATTGATTTGAAAAAAATTTCTAAATATCTTGCAAAAAGATAGCTTCTACCTTAATCTATTTTCACTAGGTGATCGACACTTCACGTCCGGGTAGGGCCGGCAGAGACAATTCAGCCAGTTGATGAGATATGAAGGATTTGAGACAAGATACTAACCTGCTAGACAGCATTTGATAGTAAACTTCAAGATACTGTGTCCACAAGCACATCTTTTCCAGACACTGCAGAACCATCTTGAAAGTCTCGAGGCTAGGTTCAAAATTTTCAGATTTATACCAACTTAAAATCTGTGAAAACAGACGATTGTTAGAAGCATATTGCAGACCATGAAGTCAACTGCATCTTGCCTACGATATAACAACTCTGGAAGAAACCCAGACTACTGCAAGCAGAGATGTCCACGTACCTCAATGCATTTCCTCCAATTCTGTGCCCTTGAGAAACTACTAATCAATATATCATAGCTTTGTCTATCTGATACCATTCCGAGATCTTTCAGTTGTTTATAGACCTGCAGTCGAACAAAAATCACTCAGCTTTGGACTCTCTAAGTTAGACACGACTAGACAAGAATCAACTAATATCCAAATATGAATATCCTTAAGATTTACAACGAGAAGCAGGATATCGCTGCCACGAGGATTTGGGGTACTGTGCACCTGCAACTGGACTCACTAGTATGTGCCTGTCAAAGCCTGAAGTTCATAAAATTCGGAATTAGAGTTCGGACTTCATGTGAAATTCGGTTGACAAAACGTGTCGGTTTACTAAGAAGATTACTAGTATTAGTCTAAATAATTACAATTACGAGCGGTGCTAATAACAGAAGACAGAGAACTAAAAGCCACTGGATTACGTTAATATTCAAAACACAATCGTCTATCAGGACGACCGGAAGAAAGTGAACCTGACTGTCATACTCTCCAATAGCATGAGTTTTCAACACGTGCAAGTAGTTGTCAAAAAGCTAGTCTGCTGTTTTGACGAGACTTACTGAAAATTTTGTAACCTATATGTAACTATCTCTGCTTGTATTCTGACGCAAGTAGCTGGCTGGATTTCAAAACTGAAATTTCCACACCACAATATCTGAACATGATCACAGCAGGACCGAATGTACCTTCATTAGATGTTGAACTTTCCCACTAGTGCCAAGGCATGTCAGTAAGTGGTTTCCGAGTCTGGAAGTGGGTGACACCCCTGCATGACGCATGTCCTCGAAAATCTCCAGTGCGGTTCTCCAGTCCTTTTTACTGCAGTGTACAGAGGTCTCCTCAGGAACATGTAAAGAATGTTCAACTTCTACTTTTGCACATTTCTGCTTAACAGAAAGAAGGTATTGGACAATCTAAAATACTCTTGTTCAAATTTCAGTTATAAGGTTGTGGTGGCGTACATGCTGCAAGCTATGAAAAGCTGTGTGTATGCGACTTCATTAAGAATCACATCTTTTCTTAGGTTTGACCACAGTCGTAACGTCTTTTCAATCTTCCCAGATTCATTGAAAATGGAGAAGAGAGACGAGCATGCCACTGCATCTGGTTTAATACAGCTTGATTCCATGTCTTCAAGCACAGCAGCAGCAAGCTCTGGCATTCCTGCGAACAAAATAGTCCAGAACGGCTTCATTGACTTCAATGGATATCAGAATTGACAAAAACACCAATGATTAGTCCACATTCTTAACAGAGGAGAGTAAATTGATCACAGCAATAAATTTCACAAAGAGGAAAACTTTCCTACCCGCGACCTTGTAGGCTTGTAGTAACGACGTGTATGTAAAAACATTCGGCGAACAAGATGACTGCTTCATTTCAGTAAAAGCTGCTTGGGCTGCAGCAGCCATTCCCTGTAATTCGAGAAGCGGTTAATCTCCTGAGACTTCCTCATGAACGCGTAGCAAATTCCATTCAAATTGTATATGAACTTCCAGGTCAAACTCATCAAGATGACCTGATTAATTAAATTGCCATGCAAAACCTGGGAATTGACTATCATAGGATGTGCTCTGACATGATCACAAAGCTCAGCTTACAGCAGAGGCAACTAACCAGATCACGTAAAATGTACCTGCTGAGCGTAAGCATGAATTAGGGCCGAATATGCTTCAACAGATGCTTCGATTCCCATCGACAGCATTTCCTTGTAAAGAGATAGGGCCTCTTCAACATTTCCAACTTTTGAAGCTCCGTAGATGAGAATACTAAATGTAATAGAATCTGGAGCAACTCCCTGATGCTGCATGATGTCGTAAAGCTCCTTCGCTTCCTCATACATTCCCCCATTCATATAAACAGAAATTGCAGTATTGTAAGCATTTAAATTTAAGACAATCTTCCGTAATTTTGCAGCTTTAAGCACATCTACGCATTTCTGTGCCTGTCCACTGCGTCCACAAGCTGCGATTAGCGAGCATATTGTGACCACGTTCGGCGGAATGTCTTCAAAGTCCATGTCCGGTAACAACCTCAAAGCCTCAGTCACAAGACCAGCAGAACCGTAAGCATCAATAAGAGTGTTATAAGTAACAATATTAGGTCTCCGTGATCTTCTCTTCATGAGATCAAAAACTTCTCTGGCTTCATGGGACTTTCCTGACTTGCTGTAGGAGTTCATGAGAGCTGTGTATGATATAACGTCCGGTTCGAAACCTGCCTTCTCTAGGAGCTTGAAAACCTGAAGAGCTTCTACATACATTCCAACCGATGCGTAAGCACCTATAAGAGTGTTGAACGTGATAAGGTTTGGGACCAATCCCTCTCCAACTAACGCCTCAAAAAGTGATTTTGCATTATCTACTTGTCCGCAAGCAGCGTAGACTTGCATCACGGTCGTGAAAGTAACCACATCAGGATAACAATCATCGAATCTCATATTCCTCATACTGTTGAAAAGTTTGATGGCTTCATCATAAGTGCCTAAATTGTAGAAGCAGCTAATGATGATGTTCAAAGTAATTCTATCCGGTTTGACTTTCCAAGAGAGCATAGACTCAAAGTGCTCTATGGCCATGGCATATTGCTCCCCAACTTTCAGTGCCGTAAGAATGACATTATGAGTCACAAGATCAGCAGCGACACCATCTTTCTTCATTCGTTCGTACACTTTGAGAGCTCTCTCCCACTGACCACTACTCCCACAGGCATTTATGAGATTGTTGTAGGATTTTGTACTGGGTGGTACCTGACAATATCAAGATGCCCACGTAAGACGGTCATTTATGTGAAGCTCGATCAACCCCTTAAAAAATGTCTATACAAAAATGGTATTTTTCGTGCTGAAACGTTGGCAATACCACAAAGTACACCGACTGCATGTACCTCAGCTCGTAACATATCGTCAAACAAGTTAAGCGCTTCCCTCCATTGCAGCGCACGACCATGAACATTGATGAGAGCATTATAGGTTTCAACATCCGGCTTACATCTGTGCAATCAGAAGAAGCTTTGAGATTAGAAAACGCAGAAGGCTACGGAAACTGAAGTAAGAGTGTCATAACGTCCGCTTGTTCAAACTGTAATAGTTGGTATGTGATCTATCATAGCCTGAACACCGCACCATAAGCGCATATTCACAGATTGACCCTAACACAAGAGTCTCGTAGTAAGAACATGCATTTTCTGACAAAATACCGGTTGCACATCCACCAATCCACACGAAGGTCTTGATTATACACGCGAAATCCATTCTTTGAACTTTCAGAGTTTAGCTGATATCCGAAACTGACCACCAACCTCCACTCTTGCATCTCTGCATGCAGTGAGCGTGCTCCATCGACTCGTTGATGCCTTGCGTAAAGCCATATCATGGAATTGTAAATGTCATTTCGAGCCCGATAACAACGCTGGTTCTTCATCCAGTTGAAAACTCGAACACTGTGATTCAAAGCACCAGTCGATGTTACAGCCTGCAAGCACCTACCCCTTTAAGACATCAGGAACGCAATGGACAAAAGTGCCTATCTTTTACCTTTCGATCTAAGGTGATCATACTGACAAAGAAACAAGTTTCTTGCTGTCCACATTTTTCAGCTGATGGTTTAAGTGTCGAGACTAAAGTAGAGCTGGTAGAAACTGATTTTTTTAGTATTCAACATTCAGAACACCGTTATCCATAACCATAATCAATCAGCTTTCACAAAATCTTCTCCTACTCACTGGAAGCTACAAAACAAAGGGAACAGACATATGCAATTAGAAAAGCTTAAGTTGGACACACTGTAAATGTCAGAAACAGCTAAGACCAAGAAGAAATATTGAGCAAAATCCAAAGGCCTCAAATTCTAAGTTCAGACTTTCCAAAATGGGTGAGTAAAACCTGTTTGATGAAACTGAAAGCAGACTGCTTCTACTCCACGGACAGGAATAAGGTCTGCAATTCTGCAGAATCAGATGCTACTACAGAAATGTCACTAGTTGGTCCACACGCCAAAGAACTAACAATCATGTAGGCAGGAGTTGGAAGCACACACCTTGATGAGTGGAGGAAAATTCTTGCGATTGTACCGACCCACCCAGTCATTAAGTATTACATCTATATCGTCCCAATGATTCAGCTCTAATACTTTGCTTACGACCTCTTTAATGCTCCAACCTTTCTGATCTTCACACCTATCTCTGTACCTTCTGGGGACAGGAGCTAAATCTGTGCCTGGGACTTCTCCTCTAGAATTCAACACTCCATAGATCCTGGTAGCTTTTATCCTGCCATAAAGTTTTTCAATTCCAAGAGGCTGGTACCTCTTGACTCTTCTTTTGGGTCTTGCTTCTTCACTAGCAAAAGATGCCTCATTTTCAGGCTCTGCGAACGTGCTACCCTCACTTTGCTCGTCACCACTATCGGCTCGTCCCTCGAGAGTGGCTCCATCGGTGAAATTCAATTTCTGATCGATATTGTCAACAAAGTCACCAATTTCCGGGTCCCATTTTCTTGGTAAATCGTGTGACGCACAAGTTTGCACACCAAAATCCTCCTTGGAAGTGATATAATGAGGCGATCCTCTGCCACCTCTCCCAACCGCAACTACAGGACTCAGACGTAAAGAAAATTGGTTCTGAACGTTGAAACTCGAAGTTGGCGCTATGGCAGCAGGTCCAGAAATGTGAAGGGAAACCAAACCCGCTCCCAGAAATCCGAAACGCAGCATTTTTCTGGTCCTCCAAGATAAGAAAACCCCTACTTCTTCGTTCCCATAGGGAAGGCAGGGAAATAATTTAGGAACTCAAACTTCCAATTCCCACATGTCTTCATTTGTTCCATGTCAACAAATCTACACACTCTAGCACGACTCCCAGTCTTCAATTGCAACTCAGTCACCTTCGGCAAATACAATTCTTCAAGCCACATGCTTCACAGACAAGGCCGCGACATACGTTCATCCGCCCGAAACGATGAAACGAGCGACAACACGAGCAATTCAAGCTTCTGCACCTCGGCTCGTCGTAGGTGCCTTGAGTTCGGGCGTCTCCTGTATGGCAGCCGTAGAAGGCCGTGTCATTGAGCTGACAATTCCATTGACCAATTCGAATGCACTCCGAGTTCCGCAAGCACAATTTGGCGGCCATAGGAACGAGCCATTCGCTCCTATGGCGTCCCTGCTGCAGTGGCTGGTCTTCAGCGGAACGTTGAAAGAATGACGTGGCGATGCAAATTCACTTTGCCTCGTCTGTGATCCTTCAGAACTGAGCGGAATTGATGACGATCTAAACTGCAACATCCTTTAAGCATGTCACATTCGGCTCCTTACATCCCTTCCAAGTTACTGTACCATTTACATTTCGCTTGATTTATTCAAGTGAGCATGGACTTGAATAGAATGCACCTCATTGCAGGATTGATTATACACCTTGTATAATTTTTCTATTGTATTTCTGATTAAACAATTTGCAATACAAATCATTTTGCGTATCACGAATCAATTTCGCATCCAACCTAAAAGTAAGCCCCGACGGCACAAGCTTTTAGTATAATTTATTAATGCTATCAGATCCAAAATAGATTCTCTGCACTAACATTGTAATTTGTTGTTTGATGGTGACTAGCGCTGTTATGCAGACTTCAGGTTTTGATGGATTTGAGTACATCGCTCCTGGTATGATAGCGAGGTAATAGCAACTAGAACAGATAAAAGCACAGCCATTTCAAGCATAGTTAATTTGAGCCGTATGTGACATGTTAAAATTACAAATTCCAAAATTCCCTGGTATAAATGTAAAAATAACAACAATTTTAACACCAATCTTCTTTTTAACTCATATTAATTAATGAAAATTATACTGCTCATATTTTGAATAATAAAAATATATAGAAGTTAACAGATGAAATAAGAATGTAAAATTTTCATATTCATGTGAACAATCAATACTTTATGCGAAAACATGACTAATAAAAACTCTAGTTATTTCTATTGTTTTCTTGCATATTTGTTATCATCGTAGACATCAAATCCTACTATTGTAGCAGAATTATCATACATTTATACTTTCACTATTAGATCGAAAAAAAATGAAAATCCAAAATCGCTAAATATTTAAAGAGCTAATCAAAATAACATCAAAGTATTATATATGATATACTTCAATTAAAATATTCTAGAATGTTTAAATCTATATTTGAACAGCATTATTAAGAAACCATCATATTACTAAAGCTAATACTCTCTTTTATGTATTATTGGATCTAGTTAGCAATCAAAGCAATGTAAATTAGTCTAAATGAATTAAGTATAAACTTCCACTACCATAAAATAACAATATTTTCAAAATTTGAATTTATAAGTTTTATATAACTCAAAGATCGTTCAAAACCCAATTTATAAGTTTATATAATACAATATATAGAGTAACCCTACATATGAAGACTTTGGAGGTTGAAGTTGATTATTGTGAACAATAACTTAATACAATCAGGTAAATATTCATCTTAACTAAGTTTAACATCAAGAAATATAAAAAAGTAATCCATATTCATTTCTAACATCATATCCAAAAACCGATTTGCTTGATATTATGTCACATGTACACATCAATTTAATGGCAATTATTACATTTGTAACCATCATTAATGTATTTAAATCAAAAGTACGTTTTTATAATACTAATAATGTTATCATATTCAACATTACAAAAAATTAGTTTTATGTTAGAAAACTTAAAAATAAATAAAAACATGAATATTATAATAATATAAATCTATAGCAATTTGAATGAAAAATTATAATGAAATAAAGAATACTTACATACAACACATTTTACAAAAAAAATTAATAATTTTGTTTGAAGTTCAAATTTTTAAAAAAATATGAATGATATCATATTATTTGTAGCAATTTCCAACTTATCAATCAAATTCTCCTTCTAAATATATTTAAATATTGTATTTTTATTTTTTTATCCAATCTTAAAGTTGATTCTCAAAAGTTGAGTTTCAAATTTTGAAGATTTAAAAAAAATTCTTGTGTTAAATCAAATCTATGTATTTTTAAATAAAATTTGTTTATGATATGTTCAACACATTCATATGTTTTCATATGTTACTATAAATATTAATAATACTAATTATTATTTTAAGATATTTAAAAATCTAAAATGTAAAATCGAAGTAAGATTTAAAACATATGATATCAAAAATTGACAACTAATTTACATAAACTTTTTTAATCCTAATGCTTGTAATAATTTGAAATACATCTAAACTATTAAATCAAAGATCAACTAGTCTAAATATTGATTAAGAGTTCAAACCTAATGTATAAATAAAATTTAAAATGTTTATGATTATGTTCAACACATTCATATGTTTTCATATGTTTCTATAAATATTAATAATACTAATTATTATTTTAAGATACTTAAAAATCTAAAATGTAAAATCGAAGTAAGATTTAAAACATATGATATCAAAAATTGACAACTAATTTACATAAACTTTTATAACCCTAATGCCTGTAATAATTTGAAATACATCTAAACTATTAAATCAAAGATCAACTAGTCTAAATATTGATTAAGAGTTCAAACCTAATGTATAAATAAAATTTAAAATGTTTATGATTATGTTCAACACATTCATATGTTTTCATATGTTTCTATAAATATTAATAATACTAATTATTATTTTAAGATACTTAAAAATCTAAAATGTAAAATCGAAGTAAGATTTAAAACATATGATATCAAAAATTGACAACTAATTTACATAAACTTTTATAACCCTAATGCCTGTAATAATTTGAAATACATCTAAACTATTAAATCAAAGATCAACTAGTCTAAATATTGATTAAGAGTTCAAACCTAATGTATAAATAAAATTTAAAATAATTTTTTTTTTAAAAAAATGCATCAAGATTTTTAATCGTTGATATTATCATAAAAATAATATTAAAAAATATCGTATTTTTTGGGATTTTTTGTTTCAATAATAATACTAATCCTGTATGACATCTCAAACATTTTTTGGTTCACAATTTTTATATATTAAAACAATCATTATTCTACTAAAATTTAAATTTTCATTTTTGAACATATTTAAATTCTTATACCAAAAAAATATGAAATATGAAATTCAAATTTGTTCAATATAATTATTAAAATTGATATTTCATATTGATTGAATACAAATCAACATTTTAATTAAACACATATAACAACTAAATATTTGATCAATATGCTATTGATGCCGAGATTAACTTTAATTAAGAGTAAGCTCTAGTTCTAACAATTTATAGCTAGTACGGTCTTCTGGACTAGGAATAAATACCTCTGCTTTTGTCCTGTACATTGAGTCTTTTCTGGACATGATCTAGAATTAAAGTGCAACTTGTTCTTGGTGGACGTAGCCACTTCAAAGGGGTGAATCACGTTACATCGTGTCTCGAGTGTTTACTGTCACTTGCGTGTTTTGACGTTACAATTGGTATCAGAGCAGATTTAGATCTGGAGAGTGTGATAGAACTTTGTGGCGAGATCCGACGGTTTTTTAGATTTCAAATTGAAGATTGTGATAGAATTTTGTGACGAGATCCGAGGGTTCTTTCGGTCGTAGTTTAATGTTGGTGATGCAAACTAAAGTGATTTTAAAGTTGAAGGTTTGCAAATTTCTGTTCATGAGAGTTCAGAGTTCAGCTATTCACAAGTAGTACTTCCGATGAGAGATTAGATTGCAATGCATGGGCGAACATGAGTAGTGATGGAGCTAGATATGGCTTCAGACAACCAGATGCCAAGGAGGATTTTGAAAATTCTCATGATATCGATCACATGAACTAGCGAGTTCAACGAGAGCTTGCAGAATGGTTGAACTGGCTCAAAAATGACATTGGATTTAGTGGCTAGAGATCGTAAGATGGAGGAGACGGATCTCGGCAGTTTTGATGAGCTCTTCATAAACCTAATGATGCTAGCTGTAAATGAAGAGGATGTTGATGCAGAGTACACTTCAGAATTTTGGACTGTGCGTGAACGCATCCTTATTCTTGGAGTTTTTTTTTTGGTTTGTAAATCAGAGAACATATTTTGCTTTGCAGTGCGTTAGTGTAATCTTAGAATTTTCCACTCAAATTTGTGTGACACTTGCAACTCAAGAATTGGACTATCTATCACATAAACTTTTGCCATCGAGTCTTCTCTCTTTATGAGGACTTCGGGTACGACCCATCAGCAAATGTGATCATAGCTTACGTGAGGCTTCTAATATCTAAGATTAGAATAAGAGAAAAGCTTGGAGGCCGTAGAATCTGTAGAGTTGTCTTTGATACTTTTCTTCATGATTGTTTCAACATATTGCGCACATCGACAACACAATTTTGATTAAAATAACAAATAATTTTTTCTTCTTTGCAGTGATTCCAAAACTTCAAAAATTATACTCTAAATCATTATCAATACGTGAATATTTTATCTTGTTGATACTCTAATATCAACTTGTAATTTTTAACATTTATAAGTTATAAACATCTCAAACTTGTTTGTGAGAATATAAATTCACATAAATCTTGAATAATCATCAATATATAGTACATAGTAAAACTTTTGAAAGTATAAAGCTTCTAGAAAGTATTTTCATGAGTCAATACAAAGTTTAACCTCCCAATAGTGATGTATATTGGTGCTAGGGTTGAAGGTCATTACTGAGAGTTGTCATTTTCAAGAGCAAAGTGCCCACACTTGATTATCAACTTTCAAAAATGACATACATTGGCCCTAGGTTTGGAGGTCACTATCGGAAGGTGTTACTCACAAAAGTAAAGAGCGCAACATTTTTATTGCTTGTTCCATCCATACTAAGACATTTTGTAATTTTTTGTTTCGCTGCAAGATTTCCTTCATTCGCTAACCTATATTTATTCACAACGAACAACATTAACACTATTATCACGTTTGAATACGAATACATACACACAAAAATTTGAGTAAAACAATCTACGATGCCATCTGTAACAAAATATTTATCCGAAGCCTAGAAGAGTAAAGTATTGAGATAAACGCTTAAATAAATATCTGTTGCACATTTTTTTTCATAGCTTTGTATTGTGATCATGATAGAAATTATAACCCCAAGATTACACTTAGAACTGTCATAACTTGATAGTAACATGTCACTGTCACAATTAAGCGACGTATTGTTTTTATTAGATTTACTAGCTATAATCCAATGATATTCAAATTCA